TAAGTGTGTTTTCTACTGTCACTGTGAGCATGGTATTCAAATCACAGATCACATTAGTGTATTTACTAGTGTCACTGTGAGCATTGTATTCAAATCACAGGTCACATTAGCGTATTTGCTACTGTCACTGTGAGCATGATATTCAAATCACAGGTTATATTACTGTATTTGCTAGTGTCACTGTTGGGGATGGTATTCAAATTACAGGTCACATTACTGTATTTGCTAGTGTCACTGTAAACTTGGTATTCAAGTCGCAGGTCACATTAGTGTATTTACTACTGTCACTGTGAACATGGTATTCAAATCGCAGGTCACATTACTGTATTTACTAGTGTCACTGTAGGCATGCTAATCAAATTACAGGTCACAATACTTTATTTGCTAGCGTCACTGTGGGCATGGTACTCAAATTACAGGTCACATTACCGTATATGCCAGTGTCACTGTGAGCTCGGTATTCAAATTTTACAGGTCCCATGAGTGTATATGCTAGTGCCACTGAGCATTGTATTCAAATCACAGGTCACATTCGTGTATTTGCTAGTGTCACTGTGGGCATGGTATTCAAATTACAGGCCACATTACTGTATTTGCTAGTGTCACTGTGAGCATGGTATTCAAATCACATGTCACATTAGTGTATATGCTAGTGTCACTGTGGGCATGGTATTCAAATCACGGGTCATATTACTGTATATTCTAGTGTAACTGCGGGCATTGTATTTGAATCACAGGTCACATTTGCGTATATGCTCGTGTCACTGTGGGCATGGTATTCAAATCACAGGTCATATTACTGTATATGCTCGTGTCACTGTGGGCATGGTATTCAAATCACAGGTCAAATTACTGTATATACTTGTGTCACTGTATGCATGGTACTCAAATTACAGGTCACATTACTGTATATGCTAGTGTCACTGCGAGCATTGTATTCAAATCAGTAGTCACATTAGTGAATATGCTAATGTCTCTGTGGGCATGGTATTCGAATCACAGGTAACATTAGTGAATATGCTAATGTCTCTGTGGGCATGGTATTCGAATCACAGGTAACATTAGTGAATATGCTAATGTCTCTGTGGGCATGGTATTCGAATCACAGGTAACATTAGTGAATATGCTAATGTCTCTGTGGGCATGGTATTCGAATCACAGGTAACATTGGTGTATATGCTAGTGTCAATGTGGGCATTGAATTCAAATTACAGGTAACATGAGTGTATATGCTAGTGTCACTGTGGGCATGGTATTCAAATTACAGGTCACATTACCGTATATGCCAGTGTCAATGTGGGCATGGTATTCAAATTACAGGTCACATTAGTGTATTTGCCAATGTCACTGTGAGCATGGTATTTAAATCACAGGTCACATTATTGTATATACTAATGTCACTGTGGGCATGGTATTCACATTACAGGTCATATTAGGTAGTGCAAGTTTTCTAGCAATATATGCCTTGTCATACAAGTTTATAGATTGGTGGGGTAAAATGTTTTTAATGTACTAAATCATTTGTTTATTCCCAAGGGATGTATAGTATTAGATGCAGATAAATGGATACTTAAACAATTGGAACACCAAGAAAGTAAACTTTATTCACGACTGTATAGAAAGGAACTAGAGGTAATACAATACTATTTATAATTATATATATATTATAGTTTCTTATATTTATTTATATAGTAGATCATAATTGGGAATTGCTGTTCAAAATAGCTATTCGAAATAGCTAAACGTTTCGAGCAGCTCTTTATTGATACCATAGGGAACAATATTTTAAAGCACGCAAGAACACGCACAACTATAAAATGGAATTACTAAAATATGTCACAATATATCATATATACACCCACTAGGTAGTAATCAACAGGAATGTGTTTGACAGTTTGTAAATTCCATGTGATTCATTAGAATTGCATCATATTTTATTTTGTTGTTTGGTGTGTATATTGAGGTACATGTACATTTACATATATAAGTGGCACTATTATCTTAATAGACAGTGATACTTGCTGTGTTAGAATTCTATGCTAACAGCAGACAATAAACATCACTCCAATTTATAATGTCAAATCCATTTACATTACTTGTAAAATTTGTGTTTTCTATTTTGTATATATTTTACAGATTGATTACTATGCCCGTGCACAGCGACTTGAAGAGATCCCACTTCTTAAAAAAGATTATGAAGAGTTTGCCTTGATGGACAGAGAAACCTGGGATGATGAAGAAGAGAAGAGAGTAAGTACATTTTGCTTATAACCTTTTGAACCTAGAGACTTGTATCTGCTCATTCATGTTGATGTGATTCAAGCTTGGGATAAAAGTATGACCGGATAGTACACATATGCCATTTTGTTTTGTGTCAATTGATCAAGGCATTTGTGTATTAATTTAGGCACCTGTTTTTGATGTCCATTTCTAGGGCTTTTTCAAATTGCTTTAAATTTTTATTTTGTTATGAGCATGGTTATACAAGTTTAATTTTATTGTAGATCCAGAATCTGAAAGAAGAGCGGGAATTGTCCAAGTTGGAGCGAAATCGTTTGGCCTGTATGGCAGTTGATAGAGATGAATTCCTAAATGGTTTTACCCAGGCCAAAATGTCTGTCTATAAGGTAATAACGTTATATGTTTGAGTATTGACTCCTAACTTTCACAAATGATTACCATCTAAGATACTAATTTCAGAAATTTATTTTTAGGAAAAACTAGAAAACTTCAAGACTATGTACGAGGAAGAAAGGAAAGTGCGTCTGGAAGAGCGGAAAGAGAGGCGTAAAGAAGAACGTCGACAGAAGTGGTTAAAAGAAAAGGGTGAGTAAGAGAAGTGTAAACGTGGTGAGGAAATGAAATTAAATTGTATGTAATTATGATGAATGTTTTTGTCCTTTTTGGCCAGAATTGTTTCCACTCGAATTTTAGTCAGTAGTTTCTAAATATAGCATAGACTATTGCATTTTATATTAATTTTTGCCATGTAAAGAAAAGGTCGTACATCATTGGTTTGTATTCATCTATTCATTTGTTATTTAATCTAGATTTTCAGTGGACAAGGTTGAAAAAGTTGTGCTATGTGTTTTGCAGAAAGGGAACGAGAAGAAGAACGAGAACGAGAGAAACGAGCCAAACAGGAGGAAGAAAAGATGGAATACAGATACAGACTTGCTAAATTGGAGGAACAAGCTGCTAAACAGAGAGAAATGTAAGATTCATTTTGGCATATGTCCATAACAATTAGGTAATTTGCATAATCTGTCATTTTTCCCCAAATACCTCTATGATAGATAGTATATCATACATGTCTGTTTAGTAGCAATTTGTCTTCAAATTTGCTAAATTCTGCTACTAAAATATCAGAATCGTTTCTCAGTGTTGATTAGGGTGATTTCATTCCAACTGCGTGTTATGCATATTGGGTTACAGGTTACACATAATATTGTTGAGATTCAAACAAAAATGGCCAACTGGCAGCCTTTTTGTATTTTTTCATGTTCATGCTAATTTCTCACTAATAAATGGCCTGATTTCGTTGAAAGTGTGCACACAAGCATTATACTTGTTCGTTGTTGTTTTTTTGTTGACGAATTAACATTTTGTCTAAAATTTCGAAATTACTATATGTAACCATGTCCAGAACCATTCCTCTGAAATGAAGGTTGACTTCATTCAAACTTTGTATGAGGGTCATGCATATTGGAGCACACATGCACACCATTTTATTTCAAGCACATTCCAGCTTCTATTTTGATGGTATGTTCAAACAATATTTACTTGAATTTTATTGCAACATTTTTTACCAACTGGACCAAATACATTGCTAGCAATGACTGATCACATGACTATATACCCACAAGTCTTGTTCTTCTTGATCACTAACAACTCATGGTTCTGATTCAAAATGGCTGTCAACCATGTTTATGTTATTTTCCCCAGAGAGAAAAAAATTGAAGAGAGACTGGCCAGAAGAGAAATGACTTCCAGAGATAGGTCTGAACCAGAAAGACGAAATGCTGGTTGGAGACATGAAGAACGAAAATATGATGATTCTGGCCCATGGAGAGCTTCAGTGTAAGTGTTTGATTTGTCTCTGTATATTTCCCTGCACTATGTATTTCCCAGACTTCTCTGCAGTTCATAACTTACTTAGATCCTGTTGACTGTTAGGTCAGGGTTAGGTCAACAGCCAATGGTAACCCATTAAAAATTGTACAAAATTGAAAAATTGCGCTATGTCAGTTTACGTATATTCCACAGGGTGATAAAATTATTAAATTTAAATCCGACTCATTCATTATTCACAAGTATACAATGAAATTTAGTGAACCTCAATGTATGTCCCATTACCTAAACGCCATTTTGGACCAAACATTAATGGCTTTTAACACATCGCGGTTAGAAAGTCTCAATTGATCACTGCCTTCATTTTGTTTTCGAGTTCACCTCTGCAGCAAAAGGTGTTTTGTTGAATTGTATCATTGACAATATAATTTTTGTTCAGGCCAAGTGAACCTGCTAGCGACCAACCAACTCGGGCCTGGAAACCTCCGTCCAAGAATGGTGGAGGATGGAGAGCCAGAGAAATGGACAGGGGTGGTGCACAGAGGAGGGATGCAAGATCTCCTCCTTTTCAAGATAGGCCTTCCCTGGATGATGCACCCACTCGTGACAGGCTTCCAGCTCGTAGTGAGAGATACAGTGATATAAGACGAGAAGATGGGCCTTGGAGAGGGTGGGACGACCTTGACAGACGTGGCCCTCCACCTGAAGATAGAGACAAAGCTTGGGCACGTAAGGACGATCGTGATAGATCTGGTCCAGCCTTAGACAGAGAAAGTGATTGGCGACGAGGACCTCCACCTGATGACCGTGATAGACGAGGACCCCCGCTTGATGACCGTGATAGACGAGGACCTCAGTTTCATGATCGTGATAGACGGGGACCTGGTGCATGGAGACGTGATGATCGTGGTCCTCCCAGCAGAGGTCTACCCCAACGAGATGACAGAGGACCCTGGAAAGGATCTTCCAGAGATGATAGCAGACCTGGCTGGCGTCAAGAAGAACGTGATAGGGGCCCACCTGTGAAAGAAGATTGTTATGTTCCACCACGTGGGGATGAAGAGCGAGATTGGCGTAGAGATGACCGTGGACTTATAAGAGATGATAGAGATCGTGAACCTCCAAATGCTTGGAGACGTGACCGAGGCCCTCTTGTACGCGGTGACAGAGACAGGCCACCGATGCGTGATAACCGAAACAGGCCACCACTGCGAGGTGATAGGAACATTCGCAGCCCACCAGATGATCGTTGGCGTGACAGACCCCAAAGAGAAAATAAATGGAGACGCGGAGATGAAAGACCAAGTGATTCTAGACTACCTCCTAGAAATAAAGGTCCTCCACCACGCAGTGACAGAGATGAGAAATGGCAAAGAAGCAGAGAAGAACCTGAAAGAAATAAGGAAGATGACGGTTGGCAAACTGTTTCTAGGCGCTAATCTTAAGTTAGCAGTGAAGAATTCTTTGGATATTAAAGTAAAAAAAAATCTTTGAAAGAAATTACTATTGAATTGATATGGTGTTGCTTTTCCATTCTTCTAGTGTCTGTATTTCTGTGACCCGAGTCTTCTTGTATATCTAATTATGTCGCAGTGAAAATGAAAATGCTGGGGAAATGTGTAATGCTCTGTGGTGGACACAGTCTTGCAAAATACATAAAAAACTATAGATTTTCTGCATTTAACTTAACATGATCTTAATTTGTATATTTTCACCCACCAGCTGTGTGATAAACAAGTTTCTTTCCATTAAGATTAGAATCAAAGTTGAAAATCTTAGATCAAAATCTGTAAGCAGATCTGTGAATTATGTTCCGTCAGTTTGGTTCCAAATTTACTTGATTTTTCATACTTGGTTATGACAGTTTAAATTGACAACATAGTACCTTATGTAATGTAACTATATTTAAGTATTCATTATCAGCTTACAAATCAAAAACTTTGGAAAATAGCCAGGTCAAGACTTATCATTGAGTTGCCATTGGGATGTTTTGGGTACACATGACTCGGTAACTCTTTGCAACTAGTTTGTTGGCCCCACAAAGATGACAGCGTGTTAGATCCTATGTGCACCTTGTTCCATCTCCAAGTTATATGCAAATTGCAGCTCATTAATTAGCAACTCTAACTTCACGGGACACTAGTAGTTCTTTCCATGATCACTCTAAATTTTCACTACTCTATTTTGTATCTCGGCCATGTCTCTAATTCATACCCATAATCCTTGATAGGTGATGTGGCTTGCATGTACAATAGTCTGTACCTACTTGTTCAAGCTTCTTGTAAGAGAGAAAAATGTGCATTTTCAGATATTGGGAAAGTTGACTAGAGAATTTGAGACAA